TCCTTTCTGGATATGAGTGGAGATGCAACTACTACTCATCTACTTAGGATAGTAGTCTCAGATATATACTAACCCCAAATGCAGCTGTAATGGTAAGATGCAAAACAGATTCACATAGATCTCTTGATGCCCATAGAAATGATCAATGCTAGAAAGCCCAGAGTCCTGCCCATTAGTACCTTTCTAACATTTGCTAGTACACGTACAACTAGTGGTACCATAAGCACACCATCATATATACTTCTCTATTAAAATCTGATTAATTATTAAGATTTGGGAAGAGAGTTTCTTCTTTCTTCTCTAGAAAGAGATTAAAGTACAAAAGTAAATGCTCAATGCTAGGTTGGTAAGTCCTTTAAGCCTGTGACTTCCTGTAGCCCTCAGAGTGCTGACTCCATCTGTCAAATGTCTGTGCTAGCACAGAGAAGCTATTTAAAGTGTTGGTGCAATTGTGATTAGGGCAGATCAGCTGGAAAGAATGGTATTTTTAGCTCTCAGCTAGACCCAGGGTGTTGAATCAGAAGGCACTAAACCTGACAGCAGTCGTGTTAATAGAGTCCTCAAGACTGGAAGGAAATGTAAAGGCCAGGGCACTCCAGATCTTGAGATGGAGTCAAAGGAAGAGCTGGAAAGGGTGAGTTGCGGAAGTAGTCTTGCAAGAGCGGCAGTGATTTAGTGTGGGAAAATGATGACCTTGGGCTCCTGGAGAAAATGAAGTGGTTGTTTTTCCCTATGTTCCATGTGCTATGCAGCCACAGAGCAGTCTGCCATTAGAAATCTGATTCACTTGTATTTGGAGCACCTAAGACAGGAGGGACTGGCGTGAGGCCATGGTAGAATGGATCGAAACTGAACTTGCTCTGAGAAACTGCACCAGAGGCCACAGCCCCACTGGGAGAAAGGCCAGACACCTCCTCTTTGGCAAGATCACAAACACACACCAAGGTGCAATAAGAGTTCAAAACTCCAATCCGGAAGCAGGGGGATCTTTTCTTTCTTTATTTTGGCAGGTCAGACTAAAGTCCTCTGTCACCCAAACTTCCACTGTCTTTTATGAAAAAGCAAGTCCCCTTTCATACCAGACACCTCTGAAACCAAACTTGCTTCCCAGTTACTCTGGGCTATCTCTTGCTTGCTATAGGCCAGAGTTTCCCAGATGATGTTCAAGGAACATTGGTGGTCCACAGGATGTTAATAATAAGCGTTTTGTGATTTTAAATTCCATGGTCAAATAAATTCCATTAACACTGAGTTAAATGGGATTCTTCAATGTAGGACTTCTCAGAGCTTTTAGTGTGCTCATGTGCAATGGTGACTTCTAAGACAGGCATACCATATGTTACATATTCCAACTTTAATTGACCACAGAACCCTTTTGTTTTTGAGTGGGCAAGTGTTCTCAGGAACGTATTATTTGAAATGTTACCACTGGATTAACTACCACGAAGGTGACTATAACCAGGGGTCTGGTCTCTTCCAAGCTGGGTACAGAGGCTGATTGTCTAACAGGATCTACTCTGGTTCTTACCACCAGCCGCCGTGGATTCTGCACCTGAAGGCTTGCTGAAGAACAGCTTATACTGTGGAAAGCTGCCCAATCTCCTCAAATGAAGTACTCACCAAATGAAGTTCCGGTAACTGACCAGTGAGCCTCAATGAGAGGGACAGGTGACAGTATCATCTACTTAGAGTATGGCACAAATAAGGAGAATCAACTATCTACTTATTATGATGGAAATTATAGAAGACTCTCCCTCAAACAACTCTCCAAGGGCTCAGAAGACGTTAGACAGTCACTATCAGAGGCAAATGCCTCTTTAAAGTTTCTATGTGCAAAGGTGCCTGTCTGTCTTTTATTTCTGAGGGTTCAAGCAGGATTTCAGCCTCCTGAATGTCTCAGAAAGGGCCTATAGAATCATCACATTTAAAAGAGGTATCACGGGAAGAAGCTGATCACTATCCTGCTGGGTTTCAAAAGCCCTATAAGAAAAGATTCAGCTGAACACAGAAGATCAATACAACATATAGCCCTAAAAACTAAAATTAAAAATGAAAAGTTGGAATGAGGCGGCAGTGTTTTGTTTTTTTCCCCCTTTCTGTACTGACACATTACCTTCTTCCCTCAAAGCTATGCTCTAGCTGCAATGGGAGGATGGCCATGTGCTAAAACCCCTTATGAGAAACACCAATGTATGGAGGCACCAAGGCTCACTTTCACTTAAACTTATAAAGCCTTGTATTGGGGGGAAGTGGGGGAGACAGAGAGGGAGGGGGAGATAGAGAGTCGGGGGAGAGAGAGAGA